CCCTCGGTCCCCTGCTCTCGGCCCTTGCGTGCGGATCCCGCCCCTCCCCCTCCACTTCCTCCACCTGTAGACCAGAAAGGCCCTGTCCTATGCGCCATCGCCCCACTTTTCGTGAGTTTTCTCGCCACGTAATGACCCCCGGGTCGTGAGGAGGGGAGAGGGGGAGAGCTGGGTCGGGAAGGAGGAAGGGGGGAGAGCGATGGCGAGAAGCGCGCAGGGTGGCGCCTCTGCAGACAAACACACTGAAATTAGCAGACCGACCTTAAAAATTGCAGGAGGCCTGCAGAAGGGAGGGGTGGAGGCATGTGCACCTGGATGGTGGAGGCGGGCTGCGCGCAGGAGGAGTCAGGAGAGGGGCTATTCCAGGGAGGCAGGTGGCTGGAGCGGGCGCGCCCTGGAGATTAAAGGGGTCGCAAACATGGTCATAAAGAAGCCCTAACCCGTTTTTTTTCTCTCTGCTATATCTCTCCATGTCCCTACTCTAAATACCTCTCTCTCTCCCTCTCTCGCTCTCTTCGTATATCGCAGCGCCAATTTGCTATGGCGGCCCCTCGGCGGGCCAAGCGTCTGCAGTAATTACTCGCATCAGAACGCCTCCCCCCCCACCTCCGCCCCACAACCGCGCGTCTCTTGAGTTGTCATGATGTCAGCAAGAAAATAAAAAAATAAAAAATTACCTCTGCAAAGCTCGGAGCTTTGCCGCCCCCCCGTCCCGTCCCGTGCGGTGCGGATAGAGCGCCTGCGAGTCCGAGGGTAGGCAACCCACCGTGGAGCGGCGCACTGCGGCTGCGCGGGCGGCCTACCCGGCCCTGCCAGGCGCTCGGCTCACTCAGCTCGGCTCGGGCGGGGGCGGCGTAGCCGACGCACACACAGACGCGCGCGCGCACACACTCTCTCTCTCTCACACACACACACACACACGCACGCACGCACACGCACACACGCGGGAACCGAAACATCATCTACACTGTTGATGCACTGATAATTTATTGCGAAGGATTTTTTCGCTTTATTTAAAGTATATAATGTACACATTTGAATAGGCAGAGTAGTGTACTTCAAACTGACCTTTTTTTTTTTTGATGTGTACGACCCTCCTCTAGGGTGAGTGGAGTGCTGAGCGTGTGAGGAAGTAAGAAGAAGGAAATCGAAGAGGGGAGTCACAAGAGTGGGAGGTTTAGGGGGGGGGGCGGGGGGACAGAGCCGCAATCGTCCGATGGCAAGCCATTGCAAGCTGGTGGCAATCACATTACCGATGCACGGAGCGTGGCGTGTGGCGGGGCGGGGCGCTTCCGTGTGCAAAGCGCTGCAAAAGCACACGGGACCGATTAGCGGAGAGAGAGGGAGAGGGGGGACTGGGACTGGGACGAGCAGTTCTCTATCACTGGGGGAAAACAAAGCTTATAGGTTGGTAATTTTCGCTGTCGACTATTTTTTATTAACCAGCAGTCACTTATTCACTAGGAAATTTGAAGATCGTTTCGCCGCATCCTGCAGTAAAATAAGAAAATACATAGAGCCTGCCCTGTTGCAAGTATTAAA